ACCAGTGGTCCACCAACTCGGTTATCGCCCCGGATGTTGATTATTCCTCCTCTCACTTTGGTGAGAAAACACCTCAGCCACGAGAAGACAGCACGTAGGGGACTTCCTCAACAGCGGCTATTTTTGGCGTCTGGTCGTATGGGGGCATTTCGCGAGGTGCACGGCCGCAATCCTAGACACCCACCCCCGACCAAACTAAGTATTTCGGAGACACCGATTGCAGTGCGTTCTTGTTGTCATCTCTGATCAAACCGGAAAACTTCAACAGGCATCAATATGCAGTTAGATTGTGTGCTCTGTATGCTAACCATTGATGTTCGCTTTCTTTCTCTACCTCTTTAAAAATACCCGCAATCCTTGTCCACCTTACACATTCTCACTTACCTTGTATGCATTGTTAGTTGGACAGTGGATTTCATCTCACTTTATTCCATTTATTCGATTATGTTGATGATAACACGTCATTCCGCTCCATTTCCAAACACTAAACATTTTTCAACCATCAGAATGCGTCTATTCCGGTGCTGTTCCCAAGAAATGAACCAAAACTGTTAACAAAAGTTACAACGGGATAGGACTGCATGGCGTCACTTCGAAAATCGGTATAATGCTACTCAGTCACTTCTGCAATGCGATCGATCGAACTAAGGCAGTTTTCCATGAGGCCGAGGCTGCGTTGACCACATATTCACACGGCCTCGAATGCCTAATCACTACTGCCAGTTCTTGCTTTATCCGTACAGGCTAAATATTCAATCACAGCTGAATGTATGATGAAAAGTCTTTGAAATTCGCAGATCCATACAAGGTAACACTTAACTGTTCACTTTACCCGATAATATTTGAATTTGCTATCTATCAGTGGATGAGAAATCGTGCAGTGACTGTCCATCAGAGTTTTGGGAAACTGCGGTCGCCCAGTGGAGCAAGTGGACAACTTACACAGATTCCGTTGGATGAGGCATGTGTTACGCATATCACCAAATAGGTTGCCACGACGAGCAATGTTCGCCAAGGCAGGTAGTGGGTTGAAGAAAGCCAAGGGTGGTCAAGCTGGCATGAAGGTATGAAAACCCTAACCAGGACACTGGGTCACACAGGTCCCGTTAGGCTCCCTGGATAGGGACCTTGGGATGATCGTACCCGATGGTTAGAGACACTGAGTGATATGGCTGGGTGTCCTAAACAGTGCATCTTCTCAATTTCTTTGCATCAGTAGTTCACTGAAATTCTCAATTTTCTCTGATCCTACTTTCAACTTTTCTGTTCTCCCCCTATTGTTCATCCAAATGGGCAGCCAAAAGATAGCAATCAAAAGCGACGCACGGATGTCTTTAATGGTTGTTCAAACTGAGCTGAAAATTGCAGTGACTGTCTACCCCGATGTTCAGATGAACCCAACAGTTTACATCTCCGGTTCCAGAGCTGGCGAATGATATTGACGTTCTCAGTGATTTCACTATCAATCATCGTCATTTGCCCTAGAAGTTATTTCTGAGCACTATCTACTTATTATCTTTCAAAATGACTGGAAACTACTAATCAGCCATGTAATCCGAAGTGAATCAGTTTTGCCCTAAACCGTATCCTCCCTTTTCTCGTATAGTTTCATCAGATAAGCGGGAGAAACTAGCAACAGCTACTCTGGTCCTAAAGAATCTGCCTCCGACTATTGATTACTCTCAGCTCAAAGGTGTTGTACCCACAGCAAGTCGTCTTGAACTGTACAAAAAGCACGGCAAACGACACGCATTTGCCAGATTCTCCACAACCGAGGAGTGTTCATTGGTTGCGTCCAAACTAAGAAATCTCAAAATCGGGGGTCATGAGGTAGGCCAGCAATTTGCTTTGCTCATTAACTTATCGCTTTTCTTCGCATTGTGCTTATTGATCGCCAGGGGCCTAATTTTAGCATACTTTGTTGTAAACGTCTCAGTCACTTTGAAACGTGCTCTGCCCAGTTCGCAGTTGTCTGATTGTGCTAGCTGGATAAATCCGAGCGGTCCGTTCATTTGATACTGTGATCTATGAACACTGACCAGAACGGATTGGTTATCTTGTGTTAAATTGCGAACTCTCTGATTTTCTTTACCGTTTTCCGTTCGCTCGTAGTCGGCAATGCTTGTGTGACCCCATATTTTTCCAAATATTTCTCATGCTTTCTTATTTTTCATTTGGGCTTATGTGTATGTGCAAGTGAATTGAATAGACATAACACAACACTTCTTACAACACTTTATCATTTCGACCACCGTATACTAAAAGTTTCCCCAGTGATCTGCGGCAGAAGTAAACGATGCATGTTACCGTAACAACCATCTCGAACCGTCAAGTAACGGAACTACTGATCAGTGAACCTGAAAAATCTCAGATCAGTAGTTATCTCAACCGATTTTTCTTTCTTCTTTGACCAGGATATATATTATCTTCACACACGTCTGAATCCAGACTGTGTGCCAAACAAATCATGGTACGATAATCTTCATGAAAAAGAAGAACTTTCCATGATTTGCAAATGGGCGGAATACTGCCAGATTGCCCAGGCCAAGGCAGGTGACTTTTTTCAAGAAGCCACAACCAGAGCCTTTGGCTAGCCGAAGCCTGACCCGCAAGGCAGCAAGGCGGTGTGCAAAAACTGCAATCCATTGGTGACTGGCGTCCAGTTCATCGGATCATACGCCTTTTGGACGGGTCAAACGTTCAAAGTGCCCAATATGCCTCGATGCCTAACCGAGCCGGTGACCACTGCCACAACTGGGATCGTGTGTGTGGTTCGTACGCCTCCTCATGGTCGGTTTGGCATCCGGGTTTTTGGCCAACTCCCTTAGGTAAACTACTAGTGGTCCACCAACCCGGATGTCGGTTATTCGTCCCCTCACTTTGGTGGGAAAACATCTCCGCCAAGAGAAGGCAGTGAGTAGGGCTTCCCCAACAGAGGCTAGTTGAGACACTTGGTCGTATAGGAGGTGCAAGGGAAAGGTGACCGACCGCAGTCTTAGATACCCACCCCAGACCATACTTTTGGAGACATTTGACCAGGATCCCTCGGTATCTTTGCTGAATATTCTTTAAGAAAAACTTGTAAATCCAGGCATTTGCCAAATCATATATGGCTAATTTATTGATTATACTAATTTCTCACAATGCCATGGTACATTTGGGTCGAAGAAAGCCTACATATTTTCACAAATTTCTTCTCGGCCCGCCGGGGAAAGGTGCGGATTGGAGAGGACATTTGGTAAGATGCGACGCTTCACGCGCTCGAGTGTCTTGGTCGAAACACGCTCCGCCCACATCGATTGTGCGATTCAGTTCAACGAGGTGTGAACACACGGTACTCGTTCTTGTCTACATTGTCCCCGATCTCAACCAAGCCAGATGATCTTCACGAATGCGATTAGTTACACAGGAACAGATGGATGCGTACATGCAGAAAGAGTCACTCTCTATCTTTCACTCGGATGTAAACAGATTGAATACCAGATTATGTTGCTTCTTTCTGCGTATACCCATTCACCTAGTCCTGTGGAACTGGGTTCATTAGCCGCATAACCAGGTGCTTATCTGATCGCTTTCGGGAACAATACGAGTTTTGGGTGCTATCGGAGACCATTTTAATTGTTGTTTGACAGATTTGAAGTTCGTATGGCGGTTGTGACAAGTTCACTAGCCTCTGTGGGATTCAGATCCACGCATGGACGCCGCCAACGTTTTTGTACAGCACA